CACTGGTATCAAGGGTGCCCGCTGTTCTCAAGAGTATCGCTTTACTTTCAGAAATTGGGGGTTATAGCCGCGAATTCAACGACGTCTTCGTAGCGCACCTCGCCGGAAGCGAGCACTCTTCGGGTTTCCGTTAAAAACGAAATCAGCTCATGGACGTTCAGCGTGCGTGACGCGACCGGTGAATTGCCAGTTTGTTACTCGGAAGGCGGCGCTGCGCGCCTTCGACGCGTAATTAACGGTACCAATGCACTTTTTATGAGGTCGCGCTGTTACCTTCGTTTCGATGAACAGACTCGTTAGACCCGGTCTCCAAGCGGACCCTTTCGGACTGATTGTATCCTGAGGGACAACTTTCGAACACGACGCCGCTTATCTGTCACCTCGGAATACTTCGAGTTACACTCGGTCACTCGAGGGTTGCTGATTTTCGTGCTAATTAACCCATTAACTGCCAAATGTTTTTTTGAAATTTTTGGCCGGATAAGTTATATATATGCACAAAAAGTTGTGTAACAGTATAATTATATTCAAATTATGTTTTGTTTTGAGCCGCAAATGGGGATCGTGGCAGCTAATGGGTTAAGAAGCTTGTCTGACGACGATGTCTGCGCTTATGCATCCATTATGCATAGCGAGAATATGAATAAACCAGTCTAACGTTTGTTGGACAAAGGATCATGTGTGTGTGTGTGTGTACGTGTGTACTGTCCATGATGATCGAAAAAAAAGATGTAAATCTTGACTGCAAGGATATCTCTTTGATAAATAAAACAGCAGTCAATATCCCTGAATTAATTGACTAGCAGGGAGATTTAATTAGATTTATGTAACAATTATAACAATAAGACACACTATGAAAAACTAAGGAGAAAAATTAAGAAAGTAATATTCATAACCCTGCTGATTTAAATTTCCTGCTAAATTTGAATATTAACGTGATATTAATAGTCGACAAAATTTTATTTATTGGTTAACTTGCAGAGTAGACAATAATAATTTAACGGAAGCTTGATTTACGTTCTAATGATGAAAATCATTAGTGCCGGAGATTTTAAGTCTACAATAATGCATGTAAAATATTATTAATGACACAAGGGATAATCGTTGCTGTAATTACAAATAATCCTTTCCTGATAATGTTAATTCGCGGGTGATGCTTCTGCTTCTATATATTGCGCCACAAGAAAAATGAACGTCGAGCGTGTGTTCGACCAATCTGCAAGTAAGATCATGTAGATGATATCTGGATTTCTGCATTTACTCACGACGTGTCTGATGCGTCAGGTTATCTCACTCGCGCGCTCGAGACCAGCAAGGATTAACGGTAAAAAATTGTCGCTCATTACCCTGAAAACTATTTCAAACTCCGAAGTCATGCATACTGATTGGACATTATTTGTTTGCCAAGCACTTGCTCGATTAGATATTAAACAAATTAATGCCGCGGCAATACCATCCCCGAGGGACATCATTCTGCATAAACATCGTGTGTTTCGCTTTTTAATCTTTTCATTTTCCTCTCTCTATCTTAACGCATCGCTTCTTCCAACTGCGTTCTGCTCAATGACTAATGGCCTCGTTATACTTTCATAAGTGTCATTACCAGCGTTCCCGTAATTGATTATACAATTTTACGACAATGCTCGTTCACGGTAATTGGCACGTCCTCGATCGGTCGAGCGAGATTTTCCCTTCGGTCTGACTTTATTCGCTTGGTCGACCGTCAGAAAGAAAATCGAAATCGCGCATTCGAAAATGCAGCTCGAAGGCTAGCTCCATATATAGCGTCGTGATAAATAATTAGCGGTTTTAATTAAATTACCACGTCTGTGTTTCGAAATAATTCGATCGCCTCTGCTTCGGCATTTACTAATCATTAACGTAAAACGATCCTTCGTTCGCGCGATCCTTCTCGGATGATATTCGCCGCGTCTGTTAGCAAGACACGTTACCAATAAACAGCCTTTCGGTCATCGGTCCTTCTGCATCTCGCTTTACCGCGAAATATTGCGTCAGAATCGAATCGCGCGGCGCCAAAACACGCGAACAGATAAATCTCGACTGGCGAGTGAATTAATCGACGGATCGCTGTAAATTTTCCCTCGGAATACCGCGGATGCCCGTCGCGTTTACAGAAGGCGAAAGAGAGAGAGAGACAGAGAGAGGAGAGGCGGTGGAGAAGGTGACGCGACGAGGAGCGCGTGCCGACACGCTCGAAAGCGAAATATCTCTCGGGCGGGCGACCTCGTTAATTAAACCGAGTTTAGGTGACTGAGGTCGCAGTCAATCGCGCAAGGTCCAGCCGTCCCTCCGTGCACCGGACGCTCGATATTGAAAAGCGTCTCCGCGCGCGTCTCCTTGCACGATATCCGCTGCTAAAAGCACGCTAATTAGCGGGTTAAGGTTGAGAATTCCATTTTTAACGAAGGTCAAGAAAACCGCGGCCGGACACGCGACGGGAGTCACGTTGATTACGCACTGCTGCGGCGGCGTGCACTTTCTCGAGCGTGAGCGGGATCGTAAGAATGGAAAATTCGTTGGGACTGTTTGCCCTGCGTGCTGTAGCTATGCTAAATAACTCAGATACAGTTGCCGTTTGTAACGGCGATAATTAAATTGCGGGGCTACTCTGACGTTGATAGCCGAGCGAAGTTAATCGTAAAGCGTCCCGCGCGGCGCACGGTATACGTCGTTAATGTTCAACACTGTAATTATTACAGTATGTTCGTGCTCTCGCTGACTCGCTCGTTCTACGGTTCACGCTCTCTTTCCGAATTTCTCGAGAGCGCCCGAAGGTAGAAATCTTCCTTCCTTTGTCTGCTATCTGACTCAACGATATGTTTTATCTGAACCAATATCGCGAGGGGATTAGAACGACACGGCTAATTTTCTTTTTTTTTTTTAATTAATATGATAATATAATTAGCCTAATAGAATTAATACCCTCTTGCTTTTTTTATTTCGACGGAATAGAGCGAAATAATTAAGAATTATGTATCTTTCGTACATCATCGTTATCGTTAATTATTGTGCATCATTATTATCAGGAGTAAGTCGCCAATCCTTTCTCAAGGCGAAACAATCGGGATAGATTATGTAAGGAGTAAGATAAAGTTTTTTTTTTCTTTTCAATGAGGATTCGCGGATGTACAGTCGATTACCTTATTATCGCAATTATTGTGCTACACACGAATGACATACATACGTGCGACGGGAATTTTTCCATCGGCGGAAATTACGAGGTATCCTAAAAATAGTATATTACAATATCTTTCTAAGCGGTCGATTATACGAGGAAAAAATAAGGTATTAAAATTATGATTATCGAGTAACCGATCTCTCTAGACATTACAAACGATGAGAAATCGCCTCTATAGTGCAACTGTTCTCCTCCTTGTTATTTCACGTCCAATAAATAACTCAATTGTTTAAACTTTTATAATTTTCAAGCAATTTTTATTTGAGGAAAGAGTCATTCACACACACTTCACGATCACATTGTGTAATCAAATGCGACTCAGAGATTGAGAGATTGATAGATTTTTTATTAAAATAAAATATTACTTTATGCACTTTATAGGATGTAAAAAATTCTAGAATTATACATAATAGAAAATTATGAAATCTCTCTCTCTCTCTCTCTCTCTCAAAATTAAAAGGACTCGCTTACATAGCATTATTCTCAGCTCGGAGAAATATTTTTTGCCGGCACAGCAAATTGTTTGTTTCTATAGTGACAATAAATAGATTTATTGAATGGAAAAAATAACTTTGTTGTAGCGAAACGTCGTTACGACAGCAATAAAATTTAGCTGGCGTAATTAGCAATTAATATTCTTAACATATCTTTCCGCTGTCACTATAGTAACAAACAGTTTGCTGCGTCAGCAAAACATTTGCCTCCGTGCGCGTGAGTCGGAAAAATTTATCCAGCACGTACGACAATATACGGCCAAGTCTTATCATGATCCTCCCGCGGACACATTAATCTAAAGAATATTAATATTAACAGCACCAAAATAACCGTGTTTTCCGGCTGTTAATGGTCAGTCATTTATTCTTTCTAATGGTTGGACCAAAAATAGAGCCAATTTCAAATATTAAATTTTATAATATCACATATATTCCGATAATAACATTCGCGAATTTCGCCTTATATTTGACAGTTGGAACAAATTAGAGCGGAGCGACGTAGACAGCGTCTAGTAGGTCGCGATAAGATCTGCGCTCTAGACATTGTTCCTGCAACAACGGTTGACGTCATAAAGCTGCACTCGCTGGATAGAGATCCGGATTCCGATCGAGAGCATGATGCGATAGGCATTGAGACGTAACATCTGGCACGTGCATTAAGCAGTCGCATGTATTATTTTGCCAGGGAAGATTACGCCGGATAATTGGCCGTCTCTCTGTGATCGAGCGGCAGGAGCGAGAGACCGAGAGAAGAAGGAGGTACTTCGAACGCGGAAAAAGATTTGTGACTCAGCCGAGATTAATCATAATTTGCATTCTCACTTCCTCCTTCTTAGAAGAGATCACCGGATAATTCCTTCGCGCGCAATCCAATTTTTACGACGGGATTACTCCAACTCCTTCTCTGACTCACACCTCGCTATTCCTCACTTACATTAGACGGCGTTAAGTTGTCAAATTTATCCACTTGAGAAATACTTTCGGCGCGCACCACGTGCATAACGGTGCGCGTGTATATTCTTCCTTCCTTCTTCCTCCAACGTGACTCACGCCTCTGAAAAGTGAAACGTCGAATCGATCGTCCGCGAGACGGCCGCGCTCGCCTTTCTCGCGACGGCTCTCGCGCTGCTTCCTGCCCGCGGTACCCCCGCGAGGCGGAGGTCACCTTGACCATCACTCGCCCCTCGAGAGGATAACGATTCGGACGAGGGCAGCGGGGGAACGGGCAATCGCGGATGGCCTCCAACGGCGACATATAAGTCCCAGGATCGGCCCCCACCCAGAATCAAACGGTCCTCTACGGCACGACGGGCAGCACAGCCGGCGAGTCTCAACACCTGGGATCATCGTCGTCATCATCCACCATCTCCGGCAGCTCGGCGATTCCGCTCTAGACGGATCCCGCACGGTAGGCGTTTCTTCCGGAGCCCCTACCACCCGCGACTCCACCGCCGCGCCGAGAACGTAACCCTCTCAAGACAGGTGGTAGCTCCTAGACTCGGCGCTTTAACGAGAGTGCAACTGCAGTTGGCGGCCGACTTGTGTACGGGGAACGCGGAGAGAGAACGCTCGTTCCAACTCGCGGCGCACTTTCGGGGAGACCCAGAAAGAAGGAGAGATGAGAATCGTAAGTACGACGCGCGCACCTCCGCGACACCTCGCGATCTCGCCGTGCGAGCAGCGAAGCACCGAGGGTCCTCTGAGCTCCTCTCATTTCTTCACCGTCTCCGTAAACGATGAGCGCGCGGAGCTGACAGTGGTCGAGAGTGTTTTCTTTCTAGGCCAGTGAGATTGTGCATTCGTGAGACTTCGAACACAAGGAAGTTTCTGTCTTCCGTCGGGAGGAGTATGCATTTGCGTTATTTACACCTCGTAAGCAGGGGGTCTATTGTGTCTGATCTTCGTCAGCTCCTCTCGCCTCTCTCGTATCTTCATCGCGTGTGAACAAACACGCGCCACTGACCGTACGCAAAGTGAAAACATAATCCCCCTGCGACACCGTTTGATACCACTCGACACGAAATTACCTGTCGAGCAATCTCTCGCGAGACATATCGCATTTTCATCTCGGTGAAAGTCACTCAATCAATGGAGCGCTCACTTTTGTCATTCTCACCGTGTTTTCAGATACACAATCGGCCGGCTGATTTTTCGACCGGAGTTTCGAACGTACGATAACGTGCTCTCGTTGGTTTGTTCATTGTCTCGTTGTTTGTTGAATTGGTCGTCGATATTTTGTATGCGCGGCTTTATTCATGTGCGTTCTGGGTTTGAGCTCGACGTTCAGTGGATCGCATTTCCGTGCTGTGACATTTCATCCTAATAATATGACGATCGAACTCTCCGCCCGAGGCGCATTCGGCGCACTTCCACGGCGAATCTAAAAATTACTTTGAATTTAATCGAGTAATCGCATCGACAGTGCTTACGTTCGGAGAGTGAGCGAGTTTCGTTCGCGTCGAGTCGAGATGCGAGAATGAAAATACGAACTTCAGCTGTTCCGACTCAACTTTCTACGCTCTTGTTTCCGGAATCCTTGCGTTCGGTCATAAAGTAAAACGCGCTTTTCCACTATCGCTCTACTATCGACTCGCTCAAAGCATCTACCTAATAATTGCAATTAACGTCGTCGGAGGAAAGCAATGCCTGGATTCGAGTTAACTAAACGAAGGGCAAGACGAACCGCTGTCGCGATGGAATTATTTTTATAATAATAATATACACTTTGTAACAATTATCCAACATTTCTTGTAAACTCTTATAAATTAATTTAAAGATTAACGGCCAGACTATTCTTGGATTAATTAGTAACATTGAGATGGACGATTGTTTAGAAATAAAAATTGCGGTTATTTCCAAGAAAAATTAACTTTTGCAAATTTGATCGCTCCGCGAGAAGAGATCGTCTTAAATTAAAATGCATCATCGATTGCGTCTGCATCTCTGGTAGAAATGTAATTTTTTAAACACTCATCCAATTACTATCTACGCATGGAGAAAGAATTAGTCATAGTTAAACTAGGGACAACTAATATCATTGCTAATGCAGCTAAATTTATTAGCTGTTCGAACTAAAATATTATAGTGAACTATAGTTGTACATTGAAAAAAGAGTTTGGTAACAATTACCAAACATTTGATGATATAATTTGAACCAAATGATTTGGTTACTGCAATCTAATCATTTAGTTGCACGTGTAACTAAATTATTCGGTTAGTGCAACTAAATCATTTAGTTACACATACCATGCAACTAAATGACTTGATTGCTGCAACCAAATCGTTTAGTTAAAATTATTTCACTAAACGTTTGGTAATTGTTACCAAACTCTTTTCTTCAGTGTACTTTGCAACAAATGCATTTTATTTCTAATAACTGTTACTGCAACTAAATTTATCAGTTGCGGTGGCAACGACATTAGCTGTCTCTATTTTAGCTACCACAGTTAGATTTTAGCCTCTATGGTTAATTCTTTCTAAATATTAATACATTCTCATTAATTGTAACAATACTGCGTAGGAAATGGGGAAGAACTCGATGGAATTTTATTCAGAAGTATTTCCAAGACAAAACTACCCAATCCATAAGCAGCAGGCTTACTTATTAATTAATTGAATAGTTTTTGCCCATTTTTTGTTCTGTTTTCATTCAGTAAATGGATTCAGATGTTGCGCATTTTGTGCGTAATAATTGTAGGAAAAGTATTGCATCTCAAATTCCCTGGTAGATTTACTTCTTAGTTACTAGAATTTAATAAATTGTTCGATAACTCAAGAAATATATGAAATTTCTGCCATGGCTAGTGCTAAAATATTTTTTGTTCATTACGAACTGCCGAAATGCATAAATTAGCGCGAGAGATGGATTAGTTTTCGTAGACAAAGGATGTGTGGGCATGAAGATAGTATCTGCCGGGCGAAATCCGCAAATACCGTGTAATAGTTCATTCACGGGATTGTAGCCCGTGGCAAGACAGGTCTACGGCCTTGCCCCGGGCTGTCGGATCGTTTGTTGGTGAACCGACATGTCTGACCGGCTTTGGATCACTCGCATGTTACGTAACGCGTAACAAGAGTAACATCGCTACCAGGAAGACTGTTTGACGACTATATCTGTAAGAGAGATCAATGAACTCTATTTTATCGCGAATATAACCGATTTAAAACAACGAACAATGCCGAAGTGAGAAAATGAATATGCATCGCTACTGATAATGCTCGTTTATCGTAATCGATATTGATAATCGCAATCAATACTGATAATCGATACTGATAATCGATACTGATAATACTCGTTTATCGTAAACTAACTATAATGCTTGATACGAAAATTTTGGCCTGATAAATTCTTTTAGTCGGTGAGCGCATAAATAAAATTTGGAACTTTTCATTTATTCCTAAGCTATGATCTCACGAATTGTATCTATTTAATTATAACTCTAACTTCTTCGCCCTTTCCACTTTCCGATTATAAAAAATGTTTATTGAAAATCAAAATTTATAAATAATATGATATTAATTTATAACAATATAATATTTATAAATAATAAACCAGTTAACTAGTAAAATGCTAAAATGTTAGAAAATTACGTCGAAAATATGTATATTATCTCTTATATCATTACGTAGTATCGCGAGAAAAGGAAGGAAGCATCTTCAATCTATGATAAGTATAACAGGTACCATTGCACGGGTAATGTCATATTATTATTGATCAAATACCGGTCTTTAAAGTATATTTGAAAAATTAAGATATCTGGTCATTAAAATATGTCGCAAGTATATAGGATAATATAAAAGGCAACTTAGATATTATGTAATCGAGTCGATCCAGCGGAACGTTTAAAATCTAGTTTTAAACCGCGCGCTAAGTTAGAAGAAAGAACCTAACATCTCTCTAATTAACATGCAAAATAGGGTTTAATTAGCTTGAAATCACGTATAACGGTGTTAACAATATATTAAAGGCACCATTTTTCGAAATAAATTACGAGAAAGCGCGACTGATAATCTGGACTGGTTATGCAAACTATTAGTGTAAATTTCGTAACGGCAAGCAATTCCGGTACACCACAGGCTGTAATTTCGCAAACGTTGAACTTATTCCACAGCTCATACGTCAAGTTGTGGGATGTTAATAATTGCACAGGGTATCACAAGCACTCTTTGAGTTAAGCAAGCTTGAAGTAGGTCTTCTCTTGAAAAAAATCTGATTAAATGTCGCGGCCTTCACGATGCTTTTTTCCAATTCTTAACTTCAAATAAAATTTAATCAAAGCTAGCTTGCGAAAGAGATAATTAAAGGGTTTCATTTATTTGTGCTATTATTTGCGAATTACGTACAAAATTAAAATTAAGACATGTAGCACGTTTAAGCGGCTTTGTCATAGATAAATCCACGCCTATGCTGAATCAGGTTTATTATAGACATAACCGGAACGGATTTAGTGCGCGAATGGCATGCAGAAAGTCACACAGTCGTGTCACTCCCTTCGCGATTTCACAAGTGGTTACCGCTTTTACAAAAATAAGTGTTGGCGTAATTGAAGTGCGTCAGTCTGCGGTGGCGTTTTATTAATTTTCTTCGAATTGTCCAAAGCAGACAAATTAATTTTTTTCACAAATTTTTAACAAAACCAAAATGTAATTTTGATTATAATTATCAAATCTAACATAATTCCACTAATTGTTTCTTCAAACGTTCTGTGATTTTTGGTAATTTAAGCTTTTTAAAAGTTAATCTTTCGTTAAACTTGAGATTTACTCACACAGTTCTCTGATTTGATATATTAAATAATAAGTAATAAATGTGATATATTAAATAATTCGTAATTGCATGTAAGTGACAAAGCCAATCTTAATTTTATTTCTTTATTTCTTTCTTCTTTTTATCTACGAAAATTGTGCAAGGGCGATTTTTAATTTTTTTGTTCATATGTTGAGTAAAATTATTACAGCCACTTATTATAAATCTTTATCATAATTGCAGATCCAGGTGTCCAACTTGATGAGATTACATTATTGTCATACTCGATTAACAGCGAAGATGATAGAGAGAAGCAGATAATAGGTGTTGATTTTCGCCAGTGAAAAATGTGTATCATGAGTTTAAATTTATCGAATTATGGGAGAGTTTAACGTGTTATCTCGTCGAGAAATAAATTATGCCGTTGAAAACATGATTTTATCGGCGCTTTACCGGTCTTTTGTATTTTCTTATCGGAAGACGATAATTACACTCACCACTGCTCGTAAATCATCACGCCAGTAGCGGTAAACGAATCGTGTAATCATCCTTCGATACTTATAATTTATACCTCACAACACATTGCCATTCGCCAGCCACACAACCGGAAAATACTTTTCAATCGCGATTACACAACAGAGAACAGACTCCTTACGTATATTATTTGCATGAATTTTAAGTATCTTCAAATAATTATGAACTGCCACGTGCCTATGTTGCATTTAATGATTCTAAAATATATATAATATATATTATAGTACATATAAAGTACTTGCAATTTTGCAAATTTGCTATAGTTACATATAAAACGTTGTAAATTAATCCGTGGAATATTATTTGTGACTTAAAATCAGTCGGATTTAATGACGATTTCTTTCATT